GGGCAAGTAGATTCAAGCTGGATCAAGTCCAACACTAGCCAGGCCTAGGCTCGGCAAATTTTTTTTTTAAATACATATTACTTAGAATCAATATTTTTCCTTCCACATTTATATAGGGCTGGCTTGGCGTAGCCCAAGTTTTTCGTTCTAGGCTAGGCTCGTCTTTGATATCATGTATTATGGGCCAGGCTGTGCTTGGGTATGTTTGAACTGTTTTAGGCCTGTCTTGGGCTAGGTGCTAGCCTAGCCCTGACCTGACCCATTAACTGCCCTATTTGCATTGGTTGTGGATTCTAGTCATAGTTGTTGGAGGCGGGAGTAGGATCAATTCAAGGAACACCAAAACGCCATAAGGTGGAAGCTCCCTGGGTTTAGGATCGATGCCCCTACATTCAACAAGTTAAGGAGCTAGATCCTAGGACACTTGGGAGTGAGATCCCATATTACTAGGATGAAGATTTTGACTTGGAGGTATCTAAGTTCCATTATCAATTAATATTATATAATAAAATTATGATCAAGTCAATACCCACTCGATACATGGTCATGCATCTTAGCTTATTACCAATGCCATATTTATCGTACTCCAATAGACTACAATAATACAGTTTAATCATCATTATCATCATCATAGCCTTTTCCCAATTAATTGGGTCGGCTACAATAATACAGTTTAATAATATCATAAATTGGCTTATGATGATCTTAAACTGTAGTTTTTTAATACTATAATCCTAGTGTAATACAATGTGATAGGAACCAGAATTTAACATATTCTAAAGAAATAAATCTTTGTTACTAAGGAGAGGAACAATACTTCAATTAATAGTATGGCTCATCTTCTTGGAGGGATCCTACAGGCATGTAGACAAAGATCCCTTTATATAAGGAGTGAGATGCCTTATTTCTCTAAACCCAGCCTCTACGATCCCTTAGAGGAGCTGCTAGATCGAGTTCTTAAGGTGAGACCATGGCCTCACCCCCACGCTTATCACAACTATGATTCCATTCCTACATTAATGAAGTGAGATGACGTGTCACCCTCACACTATGAAATGGTGGTGACACCCATAGTTGCTGGAAGTGGCAATCCCACTCTGGAAACTCGCTCTGGTGCTCCAGAAGAGGGATCTTTAAGAGATCTTGATTTCTAAATTTAGGGATCTCAATCCCTATGAATTAGGGACCTCTATTCCCACTGTTAGGGATCTTGATCCCCACCTTAAAGACCAAAATAATGGTCAAACTGATTATTTTCTTTATTTATAGCCTACTAGCAATGCAACTATACTTTTAATATGGCTGCACTACTTGCTATTTATAAACAAGAACATCTTTGCATCTGTAGTTCTTGACTACATTTTCTTTGAGGTTGGGAGTGAGATCCCTATAGGTTTTGGATTGAGATCCCAAAAGGTTGGGATCTCGATCCTTAATACTTGGGAATATCAATCCCTGACCTATGCATCGTATAGATGACACTCCTATGTGTAGGGATCTTCTAGCTTTTCATGATCCCTCGCTCCCAATTCCGATCCCGCATCCGAACCCAACAACTATGGTGACACCCTCCTTGCACATAGAGGAATGTGGGAAATAAAATTATTTTTAAAGTAAATGGTTGAGATATTCCTCTTTTAACAATAATTGAATTAATCCATTTCCTTTTGGAAGTTGAGTCAAATATATTACTTAAAAGAATCTATATAGCAAGAGGATGTATAATTATGTCGGCAGAAGAAGGAATTACAAATACATGACGAGATACACCGAATCTGTAAGGCCAACTTCAAGTACGCAACCATCATTCTTGTAGCAAACCACCAAGCTTCATTCAAATCTTTTAATTAGAAGTGCATGTTTGTTAATGCCTTCCTTTGCCAAAATATCAGCATGTCCATTGGTCTCTCTATTGGTGTTCAAAACGATCGCCTCTCGATTATTTAGGCAATTCTTTATCTCATCAAGGATGGGTCTCCATTGTCATGGACTTCTTTGTGATGAGTTTCCCTTGGCACTAACATTGGCCGAGTCTACTTTGATGATAACTTTGTCTGGATAGGCAGAAGGCACAAAACACCTTCTTTTCAGGGTAAGAAGTTTGACTTCATTGAAATCTCCTCTCTTGGTATTTCCCATGTGGCAATTGTGGTTATGATTTCCCTCTTGATTGTAAGAAAGTCGCACAGTCTATCTTCAAAGGCCATCCTATTCCTTTATTTCCAACCTTACCAATTGTTGCTACTAGTGTTTCAGAAAATCGACTTTGCCAAGGTACTCGGGTCCTGGCCGAGGCGAGTTACTCAGGCAAGTCCGAGTAACTCACCTTAGTCCGGCTTCTTTTTTTTAAAGAAAATGAAGGAAAAAAATAGGCATATATAATATGAGCGCCACTTTTATCAATAAAATTATAGACTAGTGTGTTGGTTAGTTTCCCAAATATAAATGAACTTTTTTTACAAGAGATCTTGAGTTCTATTCTCACCGGGGCAATATTCTTTTTGGAACTCTAAAAATTGATATCTATAAAAAAAGATGATGGACATACTCTCTAGTGAGATTCGAACCCGCTGGGGCAAAATTTATTCGTTAGAACTAACCAGTAAACCATTCAAGCATTTTTAACATAAAATTGAGGTAGTAGTAGATTTAAAGTTTAAAAACATGTCGTACAACCTACTCGGCCAAATGGGCGAGGTCTGAGTTACTCGGCCGAATCCGAGTTGCCTCGGCCGAGTCCCAAAACAGTGGTTGCTACCATTGCTATCCTCCACAGTTTAATGCACCATTTTTTGGCAGAGTTGGTGAGCCCCTATGCAACATAAGCTGCTCAACCAATGGAGGTATTACCCAACTAAAATCAAAAGTATCAAGCAACCAATTTCAACGGGGGTTAGCTACAGGGCTGTGCATGAAAATCTTTACATTAGTTTGTTCATCTTTCTTTCATAGAAGAGAAATGTTTGTAATTATCATCCCTCGCTTGCTAAGCTGATCTACAGTGTGGTCTATGTTTCATACAACTAGCCAAATGAAAGCTTGGGTGGGTTGGGACTGGCAAAGAACAAGCTTTTTTTGCAGCTGGCGCGACTCAAATTTGTCTATCCATCTTTGTTTTGTCATAAAGGAAGAGGTTGACAATAAACTCTCCTTTTTGATTTAGTTCCCACACAAGTTCATCTAATTATTTTGGCATGTAATAAACTGCACCGAGGATCTGCAGCAGCTCCTTGAATTGAGTGGCAACATCATCACTGACCCTTCTGCTTCTTAGCCTGAGATCACAAACTGTATTTCTACTTGCTCCAGTTGCCAATTTTTTTACTATGACCACTGTCCTAAGACTCGGCTGAGGCAACTCGGATTCGGCCAAGTAACTCATCCTCGACCTATGGGCGAAGCGAGTTTTGGCCTAGTTTTACAGCATGTTTTTAAACTGTAAATTTTCGCAATTTTATATTTGATATGTATGAATGATTTACTGGTTAGTTTTAACGAATAAATTTTGCCTCAGTTGGGGTTCATATTCCACTAGAGTAGGTATGTTACCTTTTTTATAGATATCATTATTGATATGTATGAATGATTTACTGTTTAGTTTTAACGAATAAATTTTGCCTCAGTTGGGGTTCATATCCCATTAGAGTAGGTCTGTCACCTTTTTTTATAAATATCATTATTTTGCCTCAGTTGGGGTTCATATCCCACTAGAGTAGGTTTGTCACATTTTTTTTATAGATATCATTTTTTTAGAGTCCCAAAAAAAATATTACCTCGGCAAGAATGAAACTCAAGACCTCTTGTAAAGAGGTCCAGTCTACAACTTTATTGATAAAAGTGGTGCTTATATTATATATAACTATTTTTTTCTTTATTTTCTTTAAAAAAAATGGAGCTGGAGACTCGCCCTAGTAACTCGCCTCGTCCAGTTCCCGAGTACCTTGGCTGAGTCGATTTTCTGAACACTGCCTGTGACATTAGGTTTGAGGGCTTTGCAAGAAAGGTCTGGAAATTGGATTTTGAGACACACCATCAATCCATTTTGATGTCCAAAGTAAGGTACCTGAGCAATTGATTATCTGTAGTCTGCTGTGCTGAAGAAATAGGAGCTTTGTAGTATCTATGCCTTTTCAAGAAAATGAGGCTGACTTACTGTTACTTAGCCTTTTAGCAAGCAGACTCTCTTTATCAGCACCATATTTTTCCCTGAGTATGGTTTTCCATAAAGGGGGTTATCCAATTGGATACATTGACTCTGCACCCATGGTCTTGCTAGAGAAAGAGTTTCACTCAATTGGCACCACATTGGTCTGCAACCAACTAAAACCAGTACATTTCATTTGTCATGGTTGGTACTTGAATATTTGAGACTCTGAAGGAAAATCAATATATTTTATGTAATACCATGGCCATTATGAGTTACTATCAAGGTTTAAAATCACACCTTCTATGTCTGTTATATTGGTAATGGTCCCCTCTATTATGAATAATTATATGTTGGTGCATAAAAAGCACCTTATATGGCATATAATTTGCATTGTATTCAATATAATGGATATTATCTAATGGCACAGAAGCCATTATGTCGGGTTTGGAGTTAAAAAAGTTGGCTCTGAAAAGGGAGATTTGTAAGATAGCAGGCAACTTTTTCACAAGTCACAACTTCACTCATGGTGTAACGTGGAGGTTGAGGATCATGTAGTCTTCATAACATTTTCATTGTCTAACAGACAACCATATATACAAGATTTTCACACTTTAATGCAATCAAACCTTGTGGTTTCTAGAATACTTCTGGAAGGATTCTCAGTTCTTATTTTAATTTATTTTAAGTAACAATTCTTGAATCTCAGAAGAATGAAATTTGGAGCTAAACTAGTCCATGATGGCTTATGTTTAGAAAAGTTGGATCTTTCCTCATGTACATGTTTGAGAAAGGGTTTTCCTTGTTCTTGTTGTTGGTTGTGTTTGATAATTTTGATTTTGATTTTTCTGTCTAGGAGGTAAAAGTGGTGGAGCATGGGAGCAACCTTGCACACCTCAATATTAAGCTGCAGTCTCACTGCCCTAAGCACCAAGCCAAGAGCCCCTCTCACAGCATGTCTGTGATGTTTGAGCCATAAGGCAGGAAGTGCCACTTTTCAATGAGTCCTGCAACCTATTTCTAGAGCTTGACTGCATTTTCTAGCAATTGACGCTTCCTCTAATTCAATTTTCGAGACTATTGAATTCGAAATTCACAGATTATTCAAACTGAACTTCCTTTCAAGAATCCATAAGTATTTGAAGAACTTGGATTTCTTGAGTGTTTATGATTGTTCTTTCATGAGTTCTTTGAACTGTTGGGAATTAAGTAAGAGGACCTTTACTTAACCACAACCATAATGGTTGCTGGAAAGTTTGTTTGCAGATATCGGCTGCAAAGATATATAGATGTTATAACAATGTCTCAAGGATTACCTAGGAATTCTTTGTGGAGAAATTGGGTTAACCATCTTACTGAAATATGTTTGGTGCATCCAATTTGGTTCCAGTGATAGGATTGGAATGGACGATGTGACTGGTTTGGAACAGAACTGTCTCCTGTGTGGTCTACTTCAGATATTTGACCCTAAAATTCAAAGAGTTGGTTACTTGGGGTGTCCATAATCTAACTACCTACCCGCCTGAGTGTCTCTATCTGACAGCATGAGCGGTCAAGCGGCTTGTATTAGACTGATTATTTTGAATGAATTGCATTCCAAGCTTTTTTCTTCTAAGGGAATTGGGTCCAACTGGTTTGATTGGTTGAGAGGAAAGATTATACTGATAGCCTTCATCATTTATGGACCAATTCTTATCATTTGATCCTGTAATTCATGTAGATACTTGTGTTCTACTATTTCTGGAAGCATGAATGTTTTGATTTTGATGGGGATGGCATGTCTGTGAATGCTTGTTTGGACGAATCAGATATGCTCTGGTATAGAGAGATTTGAAGGTGTTATCGGAATGTTATGGTTGAGTACACATGATTGTACCATATGCATGTGTATTTTATGTGGAATGGGCTGTGAATATATTCTGCATGATAGCTCAGAAATTGCCACTACGTTCCTGGATATATATAAATAATTTCATGCGATGTCTGGGCAATTGTCATTGTACATGCAATATCAAGACTTCTGACAATTGTCATTGTACATGCAATATCAAGACTTTGCATTTCCAATCATTCAAGAAAGCTGTTTTATACTTCATTAATATGGATTCTTGGCCCCAAACAATTTATGTTGTGAAAATGTAAAGAGAACTCAGTTTGATTTTGCACTTCCAAGATATATGGATTAACATGTATTGGAAAAACAGAAATGTGGGCTTCACCCCATATATTTCCCAATTTCCATTATTGTTATGGTTGGTTGTATACGATATGTATATCGTGCTCTGAAGCATGTTTGAGAATTAAATTGCAACAAGTTTATCCTTATTGTCTTCTTATTGGGTTAATATTCCCTATGAATGCATTTATCTCTAGTGACAGGAAAAGTGGTGGTTCTTGAAAACTCCTCTCACCAAAGAATGGTAATGCAAATTCCTTTGTGAACAAGTTCATTATTGTATGATTTGATGGAGAAAAGAATTTGGAATAATTATACAAAAGCTGCCTAAAAACTTTTTAGAAAAAACCCTTAGTTTTGGGCATGTGATATACCTATTCCTTCGGTTTTGACATGCCCAATACTTGTCTCAAAGTTTGGGTACTTGGAGAGTTAACATTTAAGTTTCAGGCTACTCGTAGAAATGTGACTTTGAATTTCTTGTCCTTGATATTAATGCCAGCATATTGTCAATAAAATTAGTGTAGGCAGAAGATATGCAAGAGGATGGCTTGCACATCATTTTTTTGAAAATGATGTACTCGTTTTTAATAGATATATTTAGTTATAAGATGACTGTGCCCCTTATGTAATTGCTGACTGTTGAATTTCATGGTCATTGAAGAGGGAATTAATTCACATATTCGTGCTTCACCTTGCTTGTTGTCTAATCACTTAAATGGAAGGGATCCATATATTCACCAAAATGAGCTTTATAGATATCAGCCATAACTAGTGTTTTAAAAAGCGGCGAGTCGAACCGGACTCTCCCGGTTCAACTCGGAAACACGCGTGCTCGTGTCGGTTCCAACCGAAAATCGGGAACCGCCCGGTTCTAGAGTGGAACCGCCGGTTCCCATCCGGTTCAACCCGGTTCTAGAGTGGAACCGCCGGTTCCCATCCGGTTCAACCCGGTTCTATAGTGGAACCGTCGGTTCCCATCCGGTTCAGCCTGGTTCTATAGTGGAACTGCTGGTTCCCATCCGGTTCAGCCCGGTTCACACACGTAACACATGACACGCACGTGCGAGCGTGCCCCATGCACACTCACACGGGCACACGTGTCCGAGCGCACGTGCAAGCGTGCCCCACACACACTCACACTCGCACACGTGTGTCCGAGCACACGTGCGAGCGTGCCCCACGCACACTCACA